GACAAATATCCTTAAGCAACAGGCAGGATCAACTCTCCACCAACAGTAGAGGGCTTCTTAGCTTTAGTAACACAGATATCCATGAAGAATGATGCTCTCAGTGCAGACACATTTGATAAAGTGGTGGCCTTCAGTAATTGCTTCTGTTCTTCATGGTCACATTTTTTTCTTTTGAAAAACTCCAAAAGCTTGTCTTTTAATGAAGGGTTCTTGGTCTCCATGTGGCAAAGCAGTTTTGAAGGTTAATGGCTTTTCTGGATATCTGGCCACCACTTACACAAAGCGGGCTTGGAGAATGTGAATCACCTGTTGCAGTGAACCAGTAAGTTAAGTAGGACTCTTGGAATTTTCTTTTAAATGCAGCTTCCTTTTTTGTTGGCAGTCTTAGAGTCTTCTGCTGTCTCATCATTGGGTCTTTCCCCATTTTCAAAGAAGCTCTCCAGAAACATTTGTCTTTTACTGATTTTGGCTAGGATTAGCATGTGCGTTTACCAAAACTTTGAGACAAGTGCACAGTGAGGTGAAGAGGTACGGACAGAAGTGTTCAATAAAATATTGGGCAGGCCATGAGCAGATCAAAATAAGTGTTGGATTCTGGTTTAAATCCTGCCACCAGATGCAGCTTTATGATTGAAGTACATCAACTCACTTGCCACTATAAAGGCTGCCATCTGATGCAGCTTAATTATCACTTGCCACTCACTGATAGGTTTTTTAAAACTTATTTTTAGAGAGAGGGGAAGGAAGAAAGAGAGGGAGAGAAATATCTATGGGTGGTTGCCTCTTGTGTGTCCCCTACTGGGGACCTGGCCCACAACCCAGGCATGTACAATGACTAGGAATCGAACTGGTGACCCTTTGGTTCACAGGCTGGTGCTCAATCCACTGAGCCACACCAGCCAGGACTCACTGATAGGGTTATGATATGAGTCTGCAAGCAATTGATTTATTATGGTCTCTGTGCAGTCAAACCTCACTGCTAATGATAATCTGTATTTGCAGCTGTTCCCTTGGGTCCATGGCGCCAGGGATTGGGGATCTCTGGTTTAAGAGGTTTGAAGAGTCTTCTAATATTTAATAAGGCTTTCACATACTTAAGAGATACCACTAGAGGGCTGGGTAAAATAAAAGCTATCCAACAAACACAAAACTTTGATGCTGTGATATACAGCTGTTTCACATGCTTCATGCACACTCTAAAGCTGGGTATAGTTGATTAGTCTAAGAAAAATCATGCATGCTCTAGTCTTAAACTTGTTCTGCCCAGACAGAACATATTTTAGGGAAGAAAAAGTCACTGTTAAATATCTCAAAGTCAGTGTTAAAAAGTAAAACTCTGATATTCAAATTTAAATACCTCTTTGATATTTCCTATAACCACTGCTCTTAATACCAAGTTTAAATCAACTCTTTCAGAATAAAAACCAGTGATCCTTGATTTCAGGAGTAATGTTTCCATTTTTCCCTTCATAATGGTAATTACATTTGTTTTAAGACAGCTAAACAATTGTTTGTATCTTCCTCAATTTCTTTCTTCCAGTCCTATAGTTTTCCAAGCACAGGTTTTACACCCCTGGTTAAATTTGTTCCCAGGTACTTTTTGTTGTTGTTATGTAAATGGGATTGTTTTCTTGGTTTCTCTCTCTGATAGTTCATTATTGGTGTATATAAAATTTCTGAGTATTGACTTTGCATCCTGCTACTTTGCTGAATTCATTTATTAGGTTGAGTAGCTTTTTGGTGGAGACTATTGGGTTTTCTATGTACAATATCATGTCATCTGCAAATAATGAGTTTTACTTCCTCTTTTCCAGTTTAGATGTCTTTTATTTCTTCTTCTTGTCTGTGCATTGTGATTAGGACTTCAAATACTATGTTGAATAAAAGTGGTGAAAACAGACACCCATCTTGTTCCTGACCTTAAGGGAAAAGTTTTTAGTTTCTGCCCAAAATGTATGATGTTGGCAGTAGGGTTCCTCATCCATGGTCTTTATTATGTTCCTGCATGCTCCCTCTATTCCCTCTTTGCTGAGTGTTTTTATCATAAATGGGTATGGAATTTTATCAAATGTTCTTTTCTGCATCTATTGGTATGATCATGTGATGTTTATCCTTCATTTTGTTTTGAATACATAACATTTATTGATTTACAGATATTGTACCACCCTTGCATCCCTAGAATAAATCCCACTTGATCTATGATCTTTTTAATATATTTGCTGGATTTGGTTTGCTAATATTTTGTTGAGGATTTTAGCATCTATCATCTGTAATTTTCTTTTTTTGTTGTTTCTTTACCTCATTTTGGAATTAGGATAATACTGGACTTATGAAAAGAGTTTTGAATTTTTCTCTCTTCATGAATTTTTTTTAAATAGTTTGAGAAGTATAAAGTTCTTCTTTGAATGGTTGGTAAAATTCTCTTGCAAAGCCAACTGGCCAGGAGTTTTTTTAGTATTACTTCAATTTCACTAGTTGTTATTGGTCTATTCAGGTTTTCTGCTTCTTCCTGACTCAGTTTTGGAAGATTGTATGTTACTATAAATTTACCCATTTCTCCCAGGTTGTCCAATTCCTTAGCATAGTTATTCATAGTAATTTCTTATAATAATCTTTTGTATTTCTGAGGTATCTGTTGTTACTTCACCTCTTTCATTTCTGATTGTATTTATTTGGGTCCTCTCTCTTTCTTCTGAACTAAACTACCAGATATTGGCACAATCATTTAGGAGTTCTCTGCACGAATGCTTGATTTTTTTTTTCCAAATCAACAATTTAAAGTTAACAACCAAGAAGGTCTCTGTTAATTAAAAAGCATTTGACTGGAAATGAGCTCCAAATAGAATGACCTAGCTTCTCCCTCAGCGGAATAGTATATAAAATTAAAATTATTAAGTAACCTTAAATGAGATTAAAATAAAATAATGAGAATTTATTTTAACAAGCTGTTGAGAATAGAAAATAAGTATGAAGAAACTTAGTAACAATAGTTGGTAATAAACCATGATGAAGTTTCTGCTTACACTGATGAATTAAATATCTTCATTGTGCTTGTTTCCCTTCAGATATAGAAGTCCATCAATTATCATTCATTTCTGAAGTTAATCCTTACTATATTGAAATATGAACCAGAGAAGAACTTCATTCACTCTTTGTCAAAGGGTGCAAGACAACTGTGATTACATCAAGTAGTTGTCATGAGAATTACTGTTCCCATACTACACCAGTGTTTTTCTAACAAAGGACTACCATGAGCTCTTTTGAGCGCTATTCAATGAACAAGACCTATTTAAGCTTTGTTTTTCATGAGTCCAAACAGGTCATTACTGCTCAAAGATCTTCGTATTAATTTCATTATTTGCCCATGTAATCCTATGTTTTCTCCATTTTCTTCAAGTCTCCAATTCCATGCCAGCTGCCCTTTCTATAGACAAAGAATTATATACTATCATCTTTTAACTGAGCGATAGGAGCTCTTTCAACTGTTCTTCTTCCTAAAATATTTTTCTTATTATACAATATCTTGTCCTTTCCTGTTTTTACAAAAAATACTTCCTCCTTTTCAATGCTAACTTTTCAACCTGTGCTTACAAATCCATTCCTTCTACTCCCCCGTTTCCAACCCCCTTCTTCCAATGACTCTCCTCTGCCTTCCAGCACCAGGTCTTCCCTTGCTCCTAACTGATCCAACTAGCAAGCTACTAATGCTATTTTCATTATGGTGCTCCAAATTCTTTAAAGGCTCCCTAACATCTCTAAGTTATTTTACCATCTTGTCTAGGCATTCAGGATTTTCACAAGCTGATCCTAAATGGCTTTTCTATGCTACTCCCTAGAACAAAATTTTTGCTTCTGCAAGGCTGATTGACTTACCCTTCTTAAATATGATTTAATTGTTATCTTCCCTGATATTTAACCATGTTGTGAATTTCACTTAAATAACTACTTCCCTTATTTCTCTGATTTTCGAGGTTCAGCTCAACTTCTCTCTTCTCTGTGAAGCTTCTCTCATAGCTCTAGACTACATTTTCTTATTCCTTGTAGTTTTAACAAACCAACTCTTAGTTTAGCACACAGTTACAAAGTATCTTTATTTATATCTGCATTCATGCTTATGGCTGCATCCTTTCATTTGAGTAACCAACCTAAACAGTCAAGGGAATATAAGAATGAATAATGTTTCTTTTATTGACTCAGAATTCTTAATATAGCCTCTCAGATAATAAAAAACGTTTATTGAATAAATGAGTAACACATTATCACCAATAGACCTGCTATTAAAAATGACCATTTTTCCAGAGGTGTAGTGGAGTGGATAATACCACAGGAAAGGTCACGCAAGAACTGGAAGATTTGTGTGATATCAATCCCAAGTATCAATTATTTGAGAGTAAAACTAACCACTAATTTCAGAATCATGTTATGTAAAAACAAAATAGTGCAGTGTTCCCACTATTGCCAGCACGTCTGACAAGCAGGCAGAAATCTATGATTTGCAAACACAATGAATAATACATTGTTAAAAATTACTAGGTTTTCTAGAATTTTGTGTAATATACTTTCTGAGGAGTGGTACTCACTTTTTTTCATTAACCATGACTATTTTGAGATTAATCCTTTTGTTACATCTATCAATAGTCTGTTCATTTGTATTATTGAGTATTATTTCATTGTAAGAATATACTACAATTGGTTTATCCACTCGGTTAATTGTTAGTGGATATTTGGATTGTGTCCAGTTGTTGACTATTACAAATAAAGCTGCTGTTAAGGTTTGAAAAAAACATTACTAATATATGACATATTCCAAGTCTAAAATTGGAATTCCATTTTATAAGAAGAAAATATAAATGTCAAATCTGTACAAGCAAAGAAAGGAAATAACAGTTTGAGAATATACATACATTCCTATTCATTCTGGTAATTCCACTGTTTAAACATATTAATGTATGATTCATTATTTTCAAAGCATGAATCTTAAAACTCTATGTTATACATACCTGTCCAGTCTCCTACTATTTTAAGATGGACCCCAAATGTTGCTTTGGTTTCAGTAGGGCACTAAAAAAAAACCAAATAAATACTAGAATCAATTCTGAATAATAATTATGATTACCAAGTATTACTGAATTACAATTTTTATTTTCACAGTAAATTCTCCAAATATAAAATAGAAAGCAATGGACTAAAATTTTATATAGAACCTCATTAGTAGAAGGAAAAAACCAATGTCAGCTAGTCAACATGACAATATACATTTCTCTAAAAACTTGTAAGTATTTATATAAAACAATATAATGCAGTGTAAAACTATTAGTATATTACATCTAACTATAAATCTTGCTTAAATATCCTTTGAGTTAAAATATTTAAGAGGTCAAAGATTTTAACGAAAAGGTAGATATATAGACTAAGAATTTCCATGTCTTTTTCTCTCCAGATATTATATACCTCATATCCTAACAAATTCCAGAAAAAAGAAAAATAAGGACAGAAAGTGAAAACTCATTTTATACACATCTATTTTTAAAAATTTATTATTATCTTTTGCAATGCTTATCATTTTAAATATTTTAAGTGTTAAATTTAAAAGTAAACATTAAAACATTGATGAGTCTTTTCCTAGTCTCACATAAGTTTCCTAGATGAAGAAAATGGCGGTTGGCTCAAGCCTTCCTTAATGTAAGTACCGGAATACACAATACCTAATTTAAGGATAAGAAAATAAAGTGGCAGAATTTGTTAAAACAGATCTGAGGGAATGTGTACTTTGCTATCGTGGAGAAAATATAATGTTTCCTTCAAATTATTTGTTCAGTATGGTGTTGAGATTTTAATGTGCTTAGAAGACTAATGATTTTGTAAGAGTTCCATAAAAATATAAACAGATATTATGTAATTATCTTACATTTGGGAACTAAATGTGAAAATGATGTCAGTGCACAAGGATTTACTCAACATGGAAAAGAAATTTAAAAGCCACAAAGTGTTTGTTTTTAAATTTATGCAACCAGAGAAAATGATCAAAGAACATGATGTTCTTTAATCATTATTGTCAGGACTTTATTTTCAGCTTTTTCTTCCAAAGACCTAGTTTCATATTTCCTATTCCAGCTAGAAATTTCCACCAGAAATTCACTCTAAATGTAATCTATCTAAAATTGCTGTTATCTTACTTCCCAAGTTATGTTCTCCTCATTCTCCTATGTCTGGAAATGGAACCTATACATCTTTATCAGAGCAGAGGCTCAAATCTCAGAGTAAGATCAGATATTTCTCTTTCTGCCAGCATTCAATGAATTTTCAAGTCCTTTCAAGTAATCTTATCAAAGAAATGATCTGATCACAGTAATCTATTAATCAACCTTTTGCATCTCCCCACAGAAAAACACCGACATACTTTCTTTCCTATAATCAATGGCCAACTGCATCTCTTCCAAATTCTTTCCAACTTTATATTTCATGTTTCTCCTTGACTCACTCTAATAATCCACCTAAACCAACATGGATCAACTATAAATCTCCCTGTCCCTTCACTTCCCTACTTACTAGTCTATCTTTAAAAAGGGATCGCCTTGAGAAGCAAGCCCATCTTTCCCTCATGACAATGAGAAATCTTAGTTCTTGGAGATAAAAGAAAGAAGCTGAGTTTGGGCTCATGATATAAAAAGAAGAAATACTCATTTCTGTATCTGGACTAATTTTAGTTCCAGATTCACCTCTCTCCAAGCATGAGCCTGTCAATTACTCCTCCACAAACCCAAAGATAAGCAGAGGTGAGACAAAAAAAAAAGCTCTAGATGCAGGAATAACCAGTACAGTGTACACTACAGCCAAGATGCCATTCATTAGCTCAGCAAATATGTGTTAAGTTACACAAAGTGCCATCTCACATTTACCTACCCAAAACCGAGCTCTAAGTATTCTCGTCAGAATCTGCTCTCCCCACAGCCTTCCCAATCTCAGTTAACATGGCTCCAGTTGCTCAGACCAAACACTTTGATGATAAGTTTGACCCTTCTATTTCTTTCATATTCCACACCTAGTCTATCAAGAAATTCTGCTTAACTCAAACTTTAAAATGTATTAAGGATCTGACACTTCTCATCAGCTCCACGATGGGCCAAGCCATCATCATACCTCAACAGGATGAGCTTCCTAACTGGCCTCCCTACTTCTCTTCATCTAATATTAACATAATAGCCAGAGTGACCCTACGAAAAAGTAAAGCCAGACATGTCATTCCTCTACACAGAACCCTCCTATGGCTCCCTCCTCGCCAGAGTAAAAGCCAAAGCCCCATAGTCTGACTCCTCAGAACTTCCCTGACATTATTTCCTATCATCTCTCCTTTTTCTTAGTGTATTCCAGCTACACTGACCTCTGACATCCCCTTCCTTACACACATACATTCACACATATGTAAGTCAAGGTGTATCAAGTGTAAATAAAGGTAGAAACTGCCAGGCTTTTAAATAGAAAAATGATGTGATCTGATTTGCATATTAAGATAATCATCCCGACGGCTTCTTGAGATTAACTGACAGGTGAGTAAAGGCAGGCAGAGGGAGACCAACTAGGAGGCTATCCAGATGGTAGAAGATCAGACCAGGGTAGGTGCTGTGAAAATTTTGGACATATTTTGAAGGGAGAGCCAAGAATTTTTGTGGACAGATTGTTGACTGTATTTTTTTCAAGAATACAAGTCAAGTTTGATGTCCAGGTTTTCAGCCTGAGCAACTTGGATAATGGAGTTGGCACTACCTTAAGAGGGGGAAAACTATGGGGGAATAGGTTTGGAAGGCTAAAGATTAAAAGCTCAATTTAGTCATGTTAACTTACAATTTGTTTTACACATCCAAGTAGAAGTTTATGACAGATAATAGAATATATGACCTTGAATTTTAGAGTTGGGGGCTGAACTAGAAATATAAATTTGGGAGATGATAGCACACAGATGACTGAATAGGATCACCAGAGAAATGAGATTAGTTAGAGAAAACAGAACACTCCAGTGGCAAGAAGTGGATGAAAAGGAACAGCAAAAAAAAAAAAAAAAAATTTAAAGAGCCAGAAAATAAAGAGAAAAACCAGGTGGGTAGAAGCCCTGGAAGCAAAATGAACAACACACGTTAATAAAGCAAGTGATCAGATGGGCCGAATGCTCCTGAGATGTCAAATCCATTGAAGATTGAGAAATGGCCATTGGGCTTAGCAACAACATGGTCATGTTGACCTTGGAAATGTTTAGTAGAGTACTGTGGGCAAAAGCTGGTGGATTTAAGAGAGAATGAGAGGAAACAAACTGAAGAACTGAAAAATGGAGGATAGGCTAGAAGGGGATGTGAGTCAAGAAAGGGCTTTTATCCATCATTTCCTCTCGGATACCTAGTGAAAAAGGCATCCAAAACTACCCACTGAATAAATCAAGTTTAATATTAAACAGCAGGTTCACTCTGGATACAGTGACTGATTTAAGTTCATATTTATCATGCAGGTCCTCATTATGCACTGAAGAAATATTTTCTTTTTCCCTGGGAAAAAAGCTGTACTAGAGCAATTAGATGATGTTTAACTTTCAGAGAATTCAGATGTCCCATTGTATTTCATGAACATTAGTGACCTTCTGTGTCAATTTCCACCACTGTGCCTGGTTTATAGTTAAGACATTTATTGCCTTGCTAATCTGTCATTTCTCCCAGCTCAGTTTCTAAGTTGTCTAAAAAAAAAAGACTTGTGAAACCCTTGAGGAAGGCAATTTTCAAAAATTAGATAGATGAGAGCAAGACCTAAGATCCAAACCACTGATGCAGATTTCCTGCTTATATTTAAACCCATGAAATTAAATAATAACAAAAATGTTTCCAGTCTTTAAGAGAGTCATGGCCATTCTTGTCTGGTTTTCATTGAAAACTGGAAAGACTATTCCCAAAGTGACTGGTTGAGAGATTAAAAACACAAAGCAGAAAAACGATGGCAAGTGAAAGCATGCTATGTAAAAGTACAGACAATAATAAACTAACAGCTAGACTTGCCTCTGACTCATGGAAAAATACGTGAATTAGGTTATCCAAGCTTAAAAATAATGAATCACATAACTCAGAACACAGATGTCAGAAAAGCACATGTGTACTTATGAATTAAAATAATAAGGAAAGGGTATAGAGATATTTGTGTAAACTTCAAGCAATTAGTACCATTAAAAAAGTAGATTCTGCATTATTTCTTTAATTAAAAACCCATGAAAAGTATTAATGACCATAATTAATGTCTACCTCAGTCAAATGTGAAGAGAAGTTACAGTTTGCAATAAGCAGTAGGCTTCATGCTTTCTTAAGCTTGGCTTCTTAAAATCGTATCAGATTTATACATCTAATTTAGACGAGGGCATACTCTTAAATAGAAGATTTGTTTTGGTTAAAAAAATGCAAACTTTGGTAATTACAGAGCATAACTAGAAAACACTTTTAAAGATCCACTACATAGCAGAGGAACAACATGTAAAATTCTACCCAGGTTTTCAGCCAGTAAAGTTCCATCATTCAGCCTAAAGGCTAGTAAATCACAAAAGGCAAATAAGTCATCTGTCCTCCAAATGATGTTTCTAAACAAGTCTGTGGCCAGAGCTTAGTCAGTTACTGCATGCTGCAGAACAAGGCAAAACAATTCAGTTTAATCCTGTCTCGACTCTACGTTCATTATCTGAAACAACAACCATAACAAATAAAAATAGAAAGCACAATAGCTAAGGTAACACAGGGAGTGATAACAACAATTGAGAGGAGTCAACAAATTTTGAAAGGTGAAATGTGAATAAGATAGTGGATAACAATTTCTAACCTACTGAGAACTTACTATATGCCATGCACTATGATTAGCACTTGATTATATCTTTTTAATTCATATTCACAGTAACGCCATAGTGAAGTTATTACTGTTACATTTTAAAAGAAGCAAACCAAAGGCATGTTAATTATCTTGTCCAAGGATATAGTACTAGTAAGTGGGAGATCCAGACCTCTAATCCAGGTTGTACAGGATTCCAAAATCCACGGTTTAAT